TCCCACTTGCGCCTTCTAATCTGGATGTCAACTCGTTCCTGTTCAGTTCTTTCCCACAAATCTTCATTTCTTATAACCTGAGGCCAGTGTATGCCCATGATGGACCGTAAACATTTGTTGACAAAAGACTACAATTTGTTGGAGGTTGCTTTTGTTACTCTCCATGTCCCTGACCCGTACAAGAGGACGGATTTCACGTTGTTGTTAAATATCCGTAGCTTCGTCTTTCTGGATGTCGTTTTAGATTTCCTCACAGGACTCAGAATTATGAAAGCAGTTCTCGCTTTCCCGATCCTCAGTTGAATGTTCCGGTCACACCCGCCATCCTTGCTGATGTTGCTGCCAAGGTAGGCAAATTAAAGTCTTCCAGTTCACCAATTTCTTCCTCATCCAGTTCTTGACTAGCCAGTCGGTATTTGTGGTGTTAATCCTCATCCCCTCTGTCTTCGATTTGTTGATCCTAAGACCCGCCTTCGCTGAGATCATTCCCATCCGTGTTAGCTTGAATTGCATGTCCTGGTAATTGTGTTCGAGCAAAGCGATATCGCAATGTTTCTCTGTCGTCTGTCTCATTATACAGTCAATGACCAGCAACAACAGAAAGGGCGACAACAAACATCCCTGGCGTACTCCGGTGAACATCTCAATCAGTTCTGAAAGGACTCCATTGTGGGTGACTCTGCAGCTGCAGTTGTCGTAGGTCTTCTGTATAAGGGTGATATACTTCTCAGGGATGCCGTAATGACGTAATAGGTTTCACAACACTTCCCTGTCGACACTGTCGAATGCTTTCTCGAAGTCGACGAAGGTCATGTAAACGGGAGAGTTCCACTCGAGCAACTGCTCTAAGATGATCCTCAAGGTGGCAATGTGATCTGTACATGACCTTTCCATCCGAAACTCAGCCTGCTCATCCTGCAGTCGTTTGTCCACCACTACTTTCAATATCTCCAGGATTATTCTGTTCAGCACTTTTCCGGCGATTGCTAACAACATAATGCCTCTCCAGTTCTTACCGTCCCTTCGGTCTCCCTTTTTTGGTCGTTTGATCAGTAAGCTTTCTTTCCAGTCATCCGTTAGTTCATTCGTTTCCCAGATCTTCCCAAACAGCTCGTAGAGCATCTCTGTCGAGGTCCTTAAATCTGCCTTGATGGCGTCTGGTGGTATGCCATCGGGTCCTGCTGCCTTGCTGTTTTTCAAATGCTGGATGGCTCTCCTGATCTCTGCTTTACCTGGCCTG